CATCACCCCTCGACCAAAAGGGGGTATCTGTTGACGAAGCAGTCCGCGGATTGTGCTAGATCCTATGAGCGAAGCTACTTGAAGATCTCGCAACTCAAAGCAAGCCTCAAAGCATCCTAAGCCCTAAACCCTATAAACCCTCGACTCAACCCTCAACCATAAACCCTAAACCCTAAACTCTACCCTAAACCCTAAAGCTTCACTCTTTGGCCCGAGATGCCCAAGTAGGCGGACATTCCTGATGGAGGCAGCCATAAGCAAAGCATGGCAATGGGGCTTGGGGTTTAGAGGGTTTACGCCTTAGGGTGTTTGGGGTTTATTGGGTTTAGGGTTCCAGGGCTTAGGGAGTGTGATTTATGAATCGGAACAGAAATCAACTTGGAGTCAGCAAAGACGAGCGAGTTTTTGGTATAGGTACTCTCTGCTTCACCAATCCTACTTACCATTTTGTAGGTCCGTCTTTGCTATGTATGTATGTACGTATGTATGTATGTATGTATGCATGTATGTATGTATGTATGTATGTATGTATGTGTGTGTATATATATATAATGCTACAAGAGTGTACGAGTGCACGATTGTGAATTCGTAGGGGCCCCGATCTGCTTGAACATCTACCACCACACCCAAACCCAAAACCCTGAACCCTGAAGCCAAAATCCTAAACCCTACACCAAGCAGGAGGCATACCCAGTTCTCATTATCCAGACGCGCTGCCCCTCTCTACTTCGAATATACTGCAGACCCCTGACCAATGCATGTATATATATATATATATATATGTATAGGTACCCCTCTCCCTTGAGAAGGGTGTTCAAGGGACCCCAAACCCCTAAACCACAAAAGCCCCTAAAACTGCAAACCCCCTTAAGCCTCAACCCATATACGCTTAACCCCTCAACCCTTAAACCCCGGGGAGTCTGCATCAACGGGAAGGTGAGGCCCTACTTCGACCCGACTGAGCCCCCGAGCCAAGGCAAGCCACGCCTAAGTGCGTGTCGTCAAGGCTTAGGGCTTAGTTTAGGGTTTAGGGTTTAGGGCTTAGGGTTTACACGGCTTAGGAATTACGGCTTAGTTTAGGGTTTAGGGCTTCGGGCTTGGGGTTTAGGGCTTAGAGTTTAGGGTTTATGGCACTTGGGCGGCGACTGTTTGGCAATGGGCCGCAAAGGTCATTCAAGTTTAGGTTCATATATGATGGAGACGCTTTGGGTTCAGGGGTTTAGGCTCCGGCCAGTGAAGTGAAGTAGTATAGTCAAGCTCTATTTTGAGGTTCGGACTACTATTTTAGTATTTGCCGTGCTATTTTCGGGTTCGGACTTCTAGTTTAGGGTTCGGACAACCGGAACCCGAAACGAAGCCCCAAAACAGGTCTAGGGCGTTCACGGACATCTGCAAGGACTCAGGGCTTACAGAGAAAGGCTTGGGGCGGATTTTGGTAGGGGCTTTGGGTGTAGGGTTTGGGCTCTACAGGTGCCTTAGAGACTTGCACTGCTGTAGACTTGTTTATTGATCATGTTAGGATATTGAGCTAAGTATTAGGTCTTAGGGTTCGGGTTCCAAAACTTGCGGCTCGAAGGAATGCTGCCGGTCGTTTTGCTAAACAACCTGAATCCTTAGCTGGGTTTGTTGGGGGTCTGGCACATCTCCCTCTCTACATACGCTCCTGCAGGAAGGCATCCCCCCCCTAGGTTGTCCGAACAGCTCGAAATCACAGAAACCCTGCAAAAACCTGCTGACAAATCTCAAGCCCAAGCCCTGTCGCCGCAGCCCCTAACACGCAAAGCATCCAAGCATCACCCTGCATCCTGCATGAACTATTGAAGATCATATCCGCATGAGGAGTACATTTCAAGACTTGATGTTTATGGGCTCAGTACCACTGCCCAGGCTAGGCTAGCCGTTCAATCATGGTAGGGTTACTGTGTATGTGTGTACCCAGAGGGTTTAAACACTACCTATACCGCCCCTAGATAATATACGGGCGTGGATACTTAGAATTTGCTTTTAGTGGGGTATAGTTATAGTAGAACTGTTTTTCATCGGTGCGAAGGGGATACTATTCCAACTATTTTGACCCCGACATTCGTGTACCTAAACCCTACTTGAAGGATCATGGGACTTAGTACGTCGGGTTATAACTAAGGTAACTATACTTATAACCCCGATTAAGGGACTTATAACCTTACTTACTAAGTCCCACGATCCTTTAAGTAGACCCTGTTGTCTAGTCCTTGCTACTCAGGCCGGAGAGAAGCAACTAGCTGGGCCCTGTCGCCCCCTAAGCGTTTGGGGCTTAAAAGGTTTAGGCCCTAGGCCCTAAACCCTAAGACTCTAGGATTTAAGGAGCCCCTTACATTCTGAAAAACCCTTGCCTGCCTTTCTCTGAGAGGGCCGGGATGATGTTGCCGCTGATGTTCCCACGGGCACTGCCACTGGGCCCTGCAGAGTGGGAACTTCCCATGGTCTTGCAACAGCGCTACAGTTTAGGGCTTAGGGATTTTGGATCTTAGAGTCTGAGCTAAATGCAGTGCCAACCATGAAGGCCACAAAAAGGGGACCCCAATTCACAAGGACTCCGCCTGCCACTGCTCGAACCTTTGACGACCCGCTCCCTGTTCTTAACCGCATTCCTAAACCCCAATCCCTAAACCCAAAAATCCTCTTTCACTCAAGCACTGGCAATCACTGGCATGGCCCCACCTCAGCTGAAGTGGAGGGCCTGGCAACACCGATGGGAATAGGCTCAAGTGGTACAGACACGGGCCCAACTAGTGCAGACTCGGGCTAAGGGTTTAGAGTTTAGGGCACAATGCTATAATGGGCCACAGTGTACTGTAGTTTGCTATGATGTCCTACGATGCGCGATAGCGTCAAATTACTATACACAAGTTTAGTATAATCGATTACAATAATACTCCCTGCAAAATTTACGGGTTTGTGGCTTCGGGCTTCAGAATACTGTTTCCAACAATTATGTTGACATGTGGATCACGCTTTGGGATCGGGGGTTGGGAGCAGGTTATGCGCAAACTGTGATAAGCACTGTGATAGGGTTTAGGGTTTCAGGGTTTAGGGTTTGCTATACGCGCTGCAGCAAGCCGAACAGCCACAGTCAATGTCCGGGCCTTACAGGCAACTTGATCTCATCTGCACAAGATATGGATCGTTTGCCCTCAACCCTAATTAAGCGCTAAAGCCTCTTTCATATATATATATATATACATACATACATACATATATATATATATATATAGACATCTATATATCTATATATCTATATATCTATATATCTATATATCTATTTATCTATATATCTATATATATGTATGTGTATATATATATATATATTTATCTATATATCTAGATATCTATATATATGTATATGCATATATATATATATATGTGTGTGTTTTATAGATATCTATGTACATATGTAAACCCTAATTGCTTAAAGGTTCTCTCGCAAAATCACTATTTTGCTGATGCTTTTTGCAAGTTACACCGCAATTCATTGCTTGGAAACGGCTTTATTGCACATCAGTTCTTAATAATGGATTCATTGCAAATCACGGTTCTTTAAAGGGTGTCTTTGAAACATCTGGGCTTTTTAACGGTTTTATGGGAAATCATGGCTTCTAAACAGTGTTCTTGCAAATCATTATTTTTTGACAGTGCTCTTGCAAATCATTGCGTTGTGACGCTTTCCTTGGAATTCATGGCTTTTTAGCGATATTTTATTGCAGACCATGGCTTTTGACGGTGTTAGGGTTCGGGACTTTGGGTTTGAGGATTTAAGCAGTTGGACTGTGATGAAGCCATTAAAGCAAATGAACTTTGAGCCCCAAACCCTGTATTAAAGAACCCTGAAACGAAGGAACCCGTGTAGAACCCAAAAGTGAAAAACCGTCTTCAACCCCTCAAAGGAACTCTTGTCTTGTGTAGGAGCCCTTACAAGAGCCCAAAATCTCCAGACATTTTCAATGATTGTGCGACAGCCCACAACCCGCAGCTGCAATCAAGATTCACAAACAACATTTCACCCCGAGCCATAACCTGACAGGTTTAGGGTTTAGGGGCTCAGGGGTTGAGGGTTTAGGGGAGGTTGTCCTCACCAGGCTTCCACTGCCCCTGACGCTTCCAGCACTACAACTAACCTCCTGAACTCCAAAGCTGTCGGGGTTTAGGGTTTCGGGTGCAAACCCAAAGCCGGAAACCGTGAATCGGAAGCATTATCTCATCAACCTTTCATCTTCGACCTCGTATAGCGGCCTTAATCATTAGAACAAGGTTGCGGGGTGTGCGTACTAATGGTAACACGCTTTCCGAAGGAACAGTATTTCTGGTTATTCAAGCCCCTATACTTACATAACTACTAATTACACCAAAATGATAACAAGGGAGCCCTAAGGACTTGTGTTACAAATTTTTTGAAGCCCCTAGATTTACATGAGACATCAATACCCTAAACCCTAAACCTAAAACCCTAAAGCCCTAAACCCGAAACTGCTCAGAGCGCGGCTGACCACTTGCATGGGCCCTCGACGCTCTGACCGAGGCCCCCGGCCGAGCGTCTTGACAGGACGGTGGGGGAGGGTAAAGCCTCCCGGTATACGGGACGGCAACGATTCGCACTTGGCGGAATCTTGGGGGTACCCTCAAGGGTGTCTGGGGCCTCAGGCTGGCAGGTTGCAGGGAGCCGGGGCCCGTTGGGCTGGTTCGAGGAAGCGACAGGCTGGCAAATTGAAGGGAACCAGCTTGTCCTGCACCGGTCCTGCGGCGACCCAGCCAGTGACCAAACATGCCAAGCCTTTCCCAAACACTTCTGCGCTCACAGGGTGCGAGGAGCAAGTCGCCCGCCGGAAACCCCGCTTTCCGGGAGCGCCCACAACTGTACACTGATTCTGATCCATCTCAGCTACGTTTTGCTGTGAAGCGCTCATTTTATGCAGAACTGCGAAGGGAAGCAGAGAGCAAGAAAGCCCCCCTTGAGGAGGTTTGGGGGTGAACCCTAAACCCTAAGCCCTAGTTGAGAATAGTTGGGGCGGGACAAAAGACACAAGCACACGATTAGTGGGTGCGTCCCTATTCCTAAAGTACAGGTGCACCCACCACGCGCACATTGTATACACACACCAAGCCCTAAACCCTGAACCCTGAATGAACTCTTAAGCCCGAAACTCTTAAACCCTTAAGCCCTAAACGCCCTTAGACCCTAAACCGTAAACCATGATCAACCCTAAACCCTTAAACCCTTAAACTCTTAAACCCTAAATCCTGAACCCTAAACCCTTACACCCTAAACCCCAAACCCTTAAACCCTAAACCCCAATCCCCTAATCCCTTAAACCCTAAACCCTCAAACCTTACACCCTAAACCCTAAACCCTTCCAACCTGTAGGAGTGGGGCGCCGAATTTGGCCTCAGGGTTGAAGCTCTTCGCACGGAGCCCAGAGATTCCGGGGTATGGCGTTTTGTGCTTTGGGTTTAGGGCTTTTGGGGCTTGAAGTCTAGAGTTTAGGGCTTCGGGTTTAGGGTGTTTGGGGCTTAAAGTCTAGAGTTTAGGGTCTAGGGTTCAGGGTCTAAGGCTTCAAGTTTAGAGGTTGGGGTTTCGAGTCGACGGTTTAGAGTTTGGGGTCTAGGGTTCAAGTTTTCCGGTTGAAGGAATCGGGTTGCCTGGAACGCCTCTTTCTTTGGGGCATTTATGCTGGCCCCACATGGCATGTCAAATCAGCTACAACAAGGAAGAGAAATGGTGAAGGGCTGCCTGTGTCAGCATTTGGGTTGATGTTCAGGCTTGAGGCCATGCATGTTCTGGATTAAGTGTGAAGGCGGATCAGGGCATAGGATTCGCGGTCGCACAGGGGGCGCAATAGCTCTCAAACTATGGTACAACTTTGTTACCAGGGACTATAAGAGATTAAGGTTCAGGTTCTTGTTTTGGTGCGAAGCAGGGATACGTCAAATGAAATAGTGATTCTCGAGTCGAGGACAGCGTTTACAAGCCCGGCGAAACTCAGCCTTACACCCTAAACCCTAAACTGCACCCTACAACCTTCAGGCCCGAACTCAGTAAACGGAACCCTAAGCCCTAGCGATGCGACGACAGGGCATGGTAGAGCAATTGTGCGAGGCCTCAAGCACCCGGATTTCAGAATATCGGTTTCAGATGCTAGGCGGCTAAGAACGACCAAAGGCGAGAAGGACGAAAACCATCAGTATCACTGTCACCTATACCAACAAAAACACTGGTATCAAAAGGATTTAAATAAAAGATACACAGGCACAGAGACATACAAACACACATTTACTTGCATACATACATACATACATACATACATACATACATACATACATACATACATACATACATACATGCGTACATACATTACATTACATTACATTACATTACATTACATTACATTACATTACATTACA